TGATATTTTCCAAATAAAGCGTATCTTCTCTCTCTTCTGCCTCCGGCGTCACGACACGCGAGAGGTCACGTGACCGCAGTTCTCGAGCTGCCTACGGGCAGCCAATCACAGGCCCCCACAAACTGCTACCGGCCAATCAACTGATTAAGGGGCCAGCGATTCGCACACGACGTTTATGCGTTCACGCCAATCACGCTGGCGAACGAGCGTACCTATTCCCGTGTTCTAACTTTAACCATAATCTAACCACGTTCTAACGTCAGTCCTAATCCCTTCAGGAATTTGGTGCACGAGGACCCCTCAAACCAAGAGGGGGTACGCATTGTAGCTCGCTACCTCATGAAATTTGCCGAAGTTTACGAAACACATTTCAGCCCTCACAAGCCGACCCAAATGAAGGGAGGAAAACTCCCAAGTTAATAATGAACGAATTTGGGCGAAATGAAAACACACAATTTATAAAAATAATAATGTCATTTTGAGATATCTTTTCTAAAACTTAAATATTTCTCAAACAGCAAAAGTGTTTTAAAGAAATAAACCTATGTTTTAGAAGTACGCAAAATCTGTTCACACAAATAACCAAGTAAATGAAGTGCTGCAATTAGAATAACCATTTTGAGTGGTTTAACCACTCGTTTCGCTCCAATTTTCGGCGACAAACTGCTCTGATTGTAGAGCAGACATTTTTACACAAATTTCCTCAATTGCTAGAAGGTTACAAATGACTAGCCCTTCAGGGTATAATATTGTCGAGGGTTTTCTCATTACCATGTCCATCGGTTGCGCCAGATGTAATGTAACAGGGAGAGCCGGTTGGAATCGTTTACTTGCCCCCATCAGAACAGGAGACAGGAACGACCTCGTACCGCAGGTGGCATTCCAGGAAGGTTACCTATCCCCTAAACTTGCCTTAAATATAATGACATCACCGACAAAGAAAATGGATGATGGAACCGCCGTTTCTAGCCTATTAACCGTCATCAGTCAGTCGTATCCAACCACAGGCGGTATACCACCCGAGGTTCGAATCCGCGACCCGTTGATCAGAAGCCCAAGGTTCTAGCCCACTGCGCCAAGAGCGGGTTTGAGCCTCGGGTGGTGCACCAATTGGGGTTGAGTATGACTGGCTGATGACAGCTAGTAGGCCTGAAAAGGCCATTCCAGGCTCCCTTGTCTTTGCTGATAATATCATTCCGCCTATAGCACTAGCCGCCGTGTGGCTGCCGACGGATCTCGAGAGTAAGGTTCAAGGCACAATGGGAGGAGTGGGTCCCACAACTGATCGGTCACCTTCCATCTACCATTCTTAAGTCTTATCTTAACAGCAACTCTACCTATATTCCTAACGCTAGTTTCCCTGAAATTAAACGCAAAACCACCTATATTACGGGCGGTTTCCGTTCCTCTATCTTGCCGGGAGGAGGGGCTATAGATAAACGAGCCCTACCGGAAGGAGTTCTAAGCAAGCATACTCATGCAAAACAACGGAAATAGTCTTCGATTACGTCATATTTTATAACTAAAATTCATCGCTTTCCCTCAAAACGCCATAGGTTGCTTAAGAATTCTCCTAATACCACGCAGAAAGGAAAAGTCGCTCACTTTGAGGCTAGTGACGCATCCAAGATTAAGGCTTTGCAAACAAACAAAAAAGCACTGCATTTTTGCTGCTCAAAGAAGGTATGCGAGGTGTCACGATAAAAAAACCTGTTATATTGATATTGTAGCCACTATATGCACTGAACTCGTTGCATTCCAAGATCCATATCTTCTGTTTTAAACAGTGGCAATTTAATCCTTTTCATTGTAAATCATACCTCAATTTCGATTAAGACAACTATCCGCCTGTTGCTTTGAAGACCTCTTGTCCCATTATTTCACCTGTTGGTTGGCTATGTGGTGCATTAAGAGAATTTTGTTAAATATTCTCTCAACGTCTTGATTTTGTGCAAACAATTAGCGTGAATAGGGCAAGTACGGTAGCCAACATCGGTTAGGATCTATCAGAGAACACACCTCGACTAGTCCACAGGGTAAGGCTTCGGGTAATACCCAAGACGTGTTACAGCCCGTCCTAACTAATCGGAGTCCCAGAAAATGGAACGCGCTGTCCTGGAATCCTCGAGTGGGGCATAAAATATAACAAATTTAAAAAGCTCGTATGATCTCAACCGCGTGGGACAATGCCCCATCAGCCACTTATCGCAGGTCTCTGGTGGCTCGCATTACCGTAAAGGCTGTAACAAGGAACACAAATCTAAAGTAATAGGGAAGCTAGACAACTAACACACGCAAGTCAGAACGCAAAACCTAAGCGCTGGTGAGGTCGCCCTTTTCGCTAAACTTCAAAGTCTTCAAAGGCAATGCCTATTA